CGCTTTTTGAATGGTTTTCAGTTAAAAAACTGTTGTACTCGTACTGTATTACAATAATATTCTATCCTATCATTAGCCTTATAATCCCACAACTGAAAACCATTCAAAAAGCTATTACGGCAACATCTTTTGAACGAAAGAAAGAGAAAGCCATTGCTTTCGTCACAATTTTATCCCACTTTCCACTGTAATACGTACATCATTTCAGCAAAAATATTACATTTCCATGTTCTCAGAAATAAATGGTAGTTTTGTTGAAACGTAATGTACAGTATTTAATATTAAAATGCAAAAATAGCTATAAAAACAATTAATACACCCAAAATGTACTGGCTGGCATCTCCACTCGTCCCTGCTTCCGCGTCCAAGGTCACCACTCCTCCCAACTCGCTCCCTCCTCGGCCTCCTCCACCTCCTCACCGTCACTACTGCGGACAACAAACACAAATGTTTTGTGAATAACTGCACCTCCACTTCCTATGTACAGTACTGAACTGAACTGTACTGTGCTGTGCATTTTTACAAACAATAAACATGGCAAGAAAAGCTATTAAAAAAAAGAGAGATAAAAATTTCACTTTACTGTACAGTACCTATACTCGGTGAAAGGACGGGGGTCATCGGGCTCATCGTCACTGAATTCCATAACGGGTGGTGAAGTGGGGGCGACGGTGGATTCAGCTGCTTCCTCACTGCCGCCAGTTATTTATGGTGTTAAATCTCTCCTTCGGTGATCAAAGAACATGGTGATGGGGAGTTGTCGTCTCTTTCTTTCATTTCTTCCATGATGTTTTTGTATGGAGCGAAAACGTCATCCATGCTGTAGTAAAATTAGTATGGTTGTTTTAAGTAATGTTATTTAATGTTAATAAATGGAACAATGGAAGTAGCTAGCAATTAAGGGTACAAAAAAAAGTGAGATCACGTATGTAAGTGAGCACATGTGTAAACATATCATCATTACTCTACATGAGAATATGAAAGCAACACTTATTTACTGTTCATATATATTTTAATTAATGTTTCTGAATTAAAAAAAAAATTCTACCCACCAGTGGTAATAAAGTTGAAAACATAAGGACAGCCAATGTTGTTGTGTGTGTGTTTTGACTTGGATGACGAAGGTGTATTTAAATTTGGAAGATTTTAATTTTGTGGGGTTTTTACAGTCTAAATGGGTATCCAAATATGAGAGCCTACTGTAAATAGGTGTCCAAATATGAGAGCCTACATATAAAGAAACAAACATTCCTGCATTTGAGACCAGCAGACAACCTTTAGCAATTCCTGAAAAGATGGCGCTGCCGCACCACTGCCATTAGTAAACAAACCACACAGCAGCAAGGGTTTATTTTTATTTATTTTTTTTTGCAATATATCAACAATATTAGTTAAATCAATAGTTTTATAGTATTGTACAGTCAACCCTCACTTTACGCGGTCCCACATTCCGCGTTTCCACGTTTACGCGGTGCCCTGCCAGAACCCAGGATGCTTACATTCCGCGGTGGGTGTACCCCTTTACACGGGTGAAGTATAATTTTTTTAATTTAGCTCATAAAATTCATACAAATTATCCAGCCAGAATATAATTTACATTGCTGGAATTCTTACAATTTGATGATCATTTTGAATATAAACATCATAGATTTTGCATTAGACATACAAATTTTAGATATAATGTTTACTCTTGAGTAAATATGTTATCTTTTGTGCAAAATATATGATATTTATATTCAAAATATTCCTGGTCTTACAAGGAATCCAGCAATGTCAATTATATTATCCTAACTTTAGTCTGATTTATTATTTATTACTAAAAAGGTAAACAGTCTGGTATTCCCACACATTTATCTAGTAGGGACGTTGGTGGGGGGAGGAGGGAGGGAGGGACCGGCGACCGACCATCTGTTACCGTGTGAAGAATATTTTTTTTTTTATTAACTGAAGATTTTTATTTTAGCTCATAAAATTCATACAAATTACCCGGCCAGAATATAATTTACATTGCTGGAATTCTTACAATTTGATGATCATTTTGAATATAAACATCATATATTTTGCATTAGACATAAAATTTTTAGATATAATGTTCACTCTGAGTAAGTATGTTATCTTTTGTGCAAAATATATGACGTTTATATTCAAAATATTCCTGGTCTTACAAGGAATCCAGCAATGTCAATTATATTATCCTAACTTTAATCTGAGGTATTATTTAATACAAAATGTTAAAATTTATTTTTTTCACCCACTCTTTCTCTTGAAGGGAGGATTGGTGGGGGGTGGGGGGGAGGGTTGGGACTGACCGCGCGGTTGGAAGAGGGGGGAGGCAAGGTGGGGTACTTTGATAGACAGATAGTGTCGTGAAGAATATATATTTTTTTTAATAACTGAAGATATTTGTTTTAGCTCATAAAATTCATACAAATTACCCGGCCAGAATATAATTTACATTGCTGGAATTCTTACAATTTGATGATCATTTTGAATATAAACATCATAGATTTTGCATTAGACATAAAATTTTAGATGTAATGTTTAATCTGAGTAAATATGTTATCTTTTGTGAAAAATATATAACATTTATATTCAAAATATTCCTGGTCTTACAAGGAATCCAGCAATGTCAATTATATTATCCTAACTTTAGTTTGAGGTATTATTTATTACTATACCTGGTTTTCCCTCCAAAATTTCTCACAGGGAAGAGCCAGCAGTGTAGTGTGAGAAGAGGGGGAGGGAGTCGTGTCCATTGTTTGAATGGACATTAACTTGGCGACTGTATTTCTCTATTTCTCTTAAGTATTAATTGTGTGCATGTACCATCATAAAATTAAGATGTTATTTTTACTACAACATAGTTATGTGTCGTCAAAAAGTGGAGTTTGGGGATCGGCCTGGACTCCATTTCAATTAATCCCATATGTTATGTTATTCACTTTACGCGTTTCTCGCTTTCCGCGGTACCCTCCGGGTTACATTAACCGCGTAAAGTGAGGGTTAACTGTACTGTATAGAGAATACTTGTTATTGTTAAGTACTGTAATGAGGTAACAGTCTATGTAATGGGCTGACTTCAAAAACCTCTGCTACAACTCATTGACTAGTGTCCTGGAAGACGCATGATAATTTTCGAGGTATATTTTTGTCATAAAAAGTGCGTCTTTTAGGCCGAAAAATACGGTACCTTCCATAAGATTCTTAACTTCGGTTAACGAGCAATCCCTTGATTAACGAGTCTTTTATGAGCCGACCTCAACATGTTTTCGCTTGCATTTGGCAGTCCACCAGCTGTAGTATTAGTCCGCCTATACAGTAATCGGTTCTAGGACTTAAATTCCTTACTATTTTAGTAAATATCAAGAAGTTTATACTATTCAATAATTTTAAAAGTTTTATATTAAATTTTTTAGTCATTTTAACAATTATTGAACATAATTGAAAAAGTATAGGAAGCTACTTTTTTGCGTGCCATACAGCCTGTCAACACACCATACAGCGTCAGTCTCTGTGTCTTTTCAGTGGAGGTAACATCTTGCTTGAGACACTTCAACTAAATGCTTTTTTTCTGTGTTTCCAAGCAAATTATTGGTCAATTTGAAATTTATTTTACATATTGACAATATATAATGCAGTGCAGTGTTGGTTTAAAGAAAATAATCTTGAATTACACCAAGTGAACTAAAATTTTATGGGTGAAATGGCACCATGTGGTGACTTCTCTTCCACCCCAATGCCTTCTCTTCTCCCTTCTCCTCCACCCCCATTCTAATTCCCTTCATCATCAACCAGGAACCTTCTACATGCACACCTGAAAGTAAGTGTACTTTACTACCTTTTTTGTTGCTTTTAGGCAATTTCGGTGAGCTGGAACCAATTACCCAAAAACCCATTGAAACAATGGTTTCGGTTAACAAGCAACCTTCTAGAACGAATTGTGCTCGTTAACCGAGGGACCACTGTACTGTGTAAATTGTTCCTGTACAAAACTCGGCCAGGATTGGGAGTTGGTGTTCACCACTGCTAGCAGAGGGCTGGTCCTCACAGCATCACTTGAGGGGGGCAATCTCCTGGAGTCCACGCGGCCACGCCTTACGTTTAGCAGAATCAGGACCTCTTGTCCGTAAACACCACCCACCCCCAAATCTTTGTTCGGGTAAGGCAGCAAACGCCAGCACTGACACCGGCGATAATAAGCCTGCTGCGATAATAGTTTAGTAGTGCTGTTAATGTGTGTGCTGTGTAAGTGTCTTGGCATGTCACCTCACCACCTGACTCCTAAACAAACTCTTCATCAACTTCTTTAATTCCTACAATGTGCTTGGTAAGCTAACACACACACACACACACACACACACACACACACATACACACACACACACACACACACACACACATGGGAATTAAGACAACAAGCATCCAGTGAGGGTCTTGTTGTTTGACTGCATAGAGGCGAAGTAAAAGATCAGTGATGAGGAGCTTATCGCTTGACAACACTGGTTGGTGTATGTTACACTCCTTTCCACTCCATCTCTCTAATCACCCACACCTTTCTGCTTTCTCACTCCAAATTTTATAATGTTATATAATGTAATGTTGAAGGGATACATTTTTGCTCATTATACTTATACTTATCACAATCTCTCTAAATTACTGTAGGTTTTGTGTTTATTCAAGACATCTTCAGGTCATGAGATCCACTAATCCCCTACCCAAGAAAGGGTGACCTGACATTCCATCAGAAAGTCAGTGATATGAGACCACTAATCCCCTTCCCTACCTCCACCTGACATTGAGTCAGATCAGGTCCCCCCCCCCCCCAAATACTTGAGCTTTCGTCTTTATTCAAGACATTTTCAGAATATGCTCTCGATTTTCGACCTCCAGAAAAATTTGAGCAAATTTCAATTCCAGCGATTGGAGAGTTCCAGGTTTTAGGGATTCCGGCTAACGGAGATATTACTACTTACAGTATATTTATGCCTTTATATGTGCAGTCATATCTAATGTGTTTCTTTTTATTTCAGGTGTCGTCATAGAAATTGAACCCACTGAAGGGCTAATGTTTAGTAGTTGTCGTATTGGTGCAACAGCAATTATAGTCCTCACCAACCCAACAAATACGCCGATAGCTTATAAGGTAAGTATTTTTATATAAAGTTCACAAACATATATGTTTATATTACAGGTGGACTATCAAAAATCCGGCAACCGATAAACCGGAACCTTCAGTTTTCTGGCATGGATTTCGGAGCGCATTTTCAAATATTTCTTTGTTTATTTAATGAAGATATTTGTTTTAGCTCATAAAATTCATACAAATTACCCGGCCAGAATATAATTTACATTGCTGGAATTCTTACAATTTGATGATCATTTTGAATATAAACATCATAGATTTTGCATTAGACATACAAATTTTATATCTAATGTTTACTCTGAGTAAATATGTTATCTTTTGTGCAAAATATATGACATTTATATTCAAAATATTCCTGGTCTTACAAGGAATCCAGCAATGTCAATTATATTATCCTAACTTTAGTCTGAGGTATTATTTATTACTAAAAAGGTAAATATTCTGGTTTTCCCACACATTTATCTGGTAGGGAGGGAGGGTGGGTGGGGGGGAGGGAGGGACCGACCGACCATCTGGCACTGTGTGAAGAATAATTTTTTTTTATTAACTGAAGATATTTGTTTTAGCCCATAAAATTCATACAAATTACCCGGCCAGAATATAATTTACATTGCTGGAATTCTTACAATTTGATGATCATTTTGAATATAAACATCATTGATTTTGCATTAGACATACAAATTTTAAATCTAATGTTTACTCTGAGTAAATATGTTATCTTTTGTGCAAAATATATGACATTTACATTCAAAATATTCCTGGTCTTACAAGGAATCCAGCAATGTCAATTATTTTATCCTAACTTTAGTCTGAGGTATTATTTATTACTAAACGTTAAAATCTAGTGTTTCACCCAATCATTTCTCAGAGAGGTAGGGACCAGTGAGGTAGGAAGAGCGGGGGGGGGGGATTTGAGTCCATTTTTGAATGGACATTAACCTGGCGACTGTATTTCTCTTAAATATTAATTGTGTGAGCATACCATCATAAAATTTAGATGTTATTTTTACTACAACATAGGTATTGTGTCGTAAAAAGTGGAGTTTGGGGGTCGGGCCAGTCGCTATTGTTCACTTTACGGGTTTTCACTTTCTGTGGTACCCTGTGGGTTCAATTGACAATTGACCGTGTACGTAATCGGGTTACTACTGTATACAGCATATACTGTATAATAAAATTTCATTTGCTTTTCATTTAGTGTTTAATTTTCTTTGCTTAAAGTACTGTACAGGTAGTCATTTTCTGTTAAACTTATACAGCAAATATAACCATCAGTTTCCGTCATTTTCGAAAATCCGGCACTCCTCAGGTCCCGAGGTTGCCGGATTTTTGATAGTCCACCTGTATTATTATTATTATTGATTATTTTTTTTTTTATTTCACTGGGAATAACCCACCTGGGCACACGTCATCAATGCACAGCGGGGCCTGGGGGGGGGGGTGAAGAATAAGAGTAAAACAAAATTAAAAATAGAAGACAAAAAAACTACACCACGAAGATGCCGGAAAACCAGCTTTTCGAAGTGTGGCAGACTGTAAGAGTATGGAGGCACAGACGAAGGCAGAGTTTTCCACAGTTTGGCTGTGTGAGGAAACAATGATGTACTATAACGGGTTTTACAGTACTAGTGTGACCGACAGCCACACAGAAACGGTGGGCAAGACGAATGTTACGAGCCGGCAGTACACAGGATACCAAATCCACTGAACATTGCCCGTTAAAGTACCTGTAAAAGAGAAAAAGTGAAGCAACATTGCGGCACAGAGAAAGGGAAGAAAGATTGTCAACTAAAGGAGGAGAGTTAATAAGACGAAATGCCTTTCATTCCAGCCTATCTAACAGTTGGACAGAAGAAGAGCCACCCCAGATATGAGAGCAGGACTCCCAGTTAGGACGAATGAATCCCATATAAACTTGAAGCAACTGCTCAGGAGTGAAGTAGCTATGACATCTGTACAATATTCCTAGTGTTCGGGAGGCAGCTTTAGTAATGTTATGGATGTGTGGCTTCCATAACTTATAAGAGGAAATGCCTAGGCCTCTCATATCTATTTTAGAATTTGGCAAAATGACTGCATTTTGAAATGTGATTGGTGAGAGATCTTCTATTTTGGAAAATGTAATTGGTAAAGACATGTACTGTAAACCCTCAACGATCGGTATTCACTAAATACACATTTTGAAAAATTCAGACAAAAAATTTGGGGGTTCTGGGCTAAGAAGCCTTCCCAAACAGGGTGAAGGTAGTTTTAGGCTTAAAGTTTTTATCTTATAAAATATCACCGACTAAACTTTGCTGAATATAACTTGCATTGCTGGAATCCTTGCGAGATAGTGAATAATTTGAGTATGGACATCACATAGTTTGCACAAGAGATAAAAATTTTAGTTCTTTAGCATAGAACATTTGAGTACAAAGTGAGTACAGTACAGTAGAACTTGATTTAAAGCGATTCAATTTAAGATTATTGATTTAAAGCGACACCCACAATTAAGGACAATGTTTTAATTTAAAGCGAATCTTTCCTATTTTGCGCGAGTTAAGCTGGCGCATCATATTTTAAAATTCGCTCCTAATGTTTCTCTGGGCACGCTACACTGTCCTAAGGGCAAAGCTGTTCTGTACATGTACTCTAAGTAATGTACTAAATGATAACTAAAATTTTTGTCTAGTGCAAACTACAGCATGATTATATTCAAATTAATCACTATCTTATAAGAATTCCAGCACTGTAAATTATATTCTCCCTGGTCACTTCTGTTACATTTTACAAACAAAAAACAAAAACTCAATCTAAAGGACAAATATAAACAAATAAATACTTCACTTGCTGTCTTGCAAGGATTCTAGCAATGCAAATTATATTCTCCTAACTTTAGTCTGAGATATGATATAAGATAAAAACTGTAAGCCTAAAAGCCTGGCTGGGGAAGAGGGAGGGAGGGAGGTGACAGTGACATGTTTGACAGTTAGCGCCGAAGGTCTGGTGAAATATTTATTTGTTTATTTATGTAAAAAAAAAACTTACATCACTACCCACAGTCCCCAACACTACCCACAGTCCCCAACACTACCCACAGTCCCCCAACACTACCCACAGTCCCCCACCACAATCCCCAACACCACCCACGTCCCCAACACCACCCACAGTCCCCAACACCACCCAGTCCCTAACAACAGTCCCCAACACACACCCACAGTCCCCAACACTACCCACAGTCCCCAACACTAACCACAATCCCCCAACACCCCACACAGTCCCCAACACTACCCCACAGTCCCCAACACTACCCACAGTCCCCCAACACTATCCACAGTCACCAACTACCCACAGTCCCCAACAACACCCACAGGCCCCCCAACACTACCCTGAATTCCCCAACACTACCACTACCCTACCCACAGTCCACCCAAACACACCCACGGTCCCCCAAACAACACTACCCACAGTCCCCAAACACCACCCACAGTCCCCAAACACCCCAACCACCCCACAGTCCCCAACACTGCCCACAGTCCCCACAGTCCCCAACACCACAGTCCCCAACACTACCACACTACCCACAATCCCCCCAACACTACCCACATTTTAACACTGCCTCCCCAACACTACCCACAGTCCGCCAGCACTACCCACAGTCCCACAGTCCCCAACACTACCCCACAGTCCCCAACACTACCCCACAGTCCCCCAACACCCCACACTACCCCACAGTCCCCAACACTACCCACAGTCCCCAACACTACCACAGTCCCCCAACACTACACTACCCCACAGTCCCCACAGTCCCCCAACTTTTACCCACAGTCCCCACAGTCCCCAACACTACCCACAGTCCCCAACACTCCCACAGTCCCCAACACCCCCACAATCCCCAACACTACACCCACAGTCCCCAACACCTACCCACGGTCCCCAAACACTCCCCAACACTACCCACAATCCCTCCACGTCCCCAGCACTACCCACAGTCCCCACACTAGCCCACAGTCCCCAACACTACCCACAGTCCTAGCACTACCCACAGTCCCCAGCACTACCCCACAGTGCCAACACTGCCCACAGTCCCCAACACCCCACAGTCCCCCAACACTACCCACAGTCCCCCAAACACTACCCACAGTCCCCCAACACTACCCACAACACACCCACAGTCCCCCAACACCACCCACAGTCCCCAACACACCCACAGTCCCCCAACACCTCGCACAGTCCCCAACACTACCCACAGTCCCCCAACACTCCACAGTCCCCAACACTACCCACAGTCCCCAACAAAAGCAAATTAATCTATGACTTCAACATGGGTTTACAAAGAAAAATCTTGCCTAACAAATCAGCGACAAAAAACAAAAACACAAAAAAACAAAACAAAACAACAACAACAAACACAAAACAAAAAAAACAAAAACAAAAACAAAAATGATCAAAATGCTCTACAATGATTTAAAATCAACCCAGAGTGGTCAAAAATGCAAATGAAATTCAACACCAAATGCCACACTTAAAAAAACAAAAACACAATTATACAGCCTTAACAACATCAACCCAGAGAAATCGACTCCAGAAAGAGACAACAAACCCAACCCACCCAAAAAACACAACAAAAACAAACAAAACAAAAAACCAGACGTCTTATCAATCCATATATAGAATGGATATCAAAAACAAAACACAAACCCCAACAAAAAAAAAACAAACCAAAAAAAAAAAAAAAAAAACAAAAAAAACCAAACCAACCAACAAACAAAAAAAAACCACAAACACAACTTTGAACAACTGAAATTTAAAATAACAGATAGATCCATGAGATAGATATGGCTCTAACTCTGACCAGAGCCCATGCACAACAACCGCCCACAGACTCCCCATTCTCTATGTTCTATGTTCCAACACCACCACAGTCCCCAACACCATCTATAGTCCCCAACACCACCCACAGTCCCCAACACCACCCACACCCACTCAAACCACCCACACCACCAAACCACCCACAC